CCCCCCCCCTCTCTCTTCCCTATTGCCTGTGCTTCATTGTGTTTAAAGCTTGATGCACAATTGAAAAGTACAGGCAATAGAAACAAGGAATAACAGAGTTCAACCTATAACCTTAAACACAATGAAAAGGACAGGCAATAAGAGGGAGGGATAGAGAGGAGAGAACAGAGAAATTTTAATCTATTATAAATCTGTACTAGAATCACGGTTTCTGACAGATTGAAATTTGTTACTCCCTGTTTCTATTGCCTATACAATGTTAATCATGCTCCAGGCTTTCCAAAAGTAGCGAAAGTTTTAGGAATTAATGTCATACGTGGTGAACCTTTTTGTTTTCGATCATCTTATGATGTCTTTTTTCTACAAGTAAATTAATTTAATTCTCTGTTTGGCTTGTTTTTTTATTTTCCAGTTTTAAGGCCGATTGACCTTAAAACTAAAAAATAATGATGATGAACATTTATGGCCGGTTCTTATTTCAAGATCATCTTATCGTCTTGAGACGGTTTTGTGATTATGATATCTTAAGATTGTACTTAAGACGGATTTAGATACAATAGTCGCTTATGAATTTGGCCTAAGAATTAGAAACAGATAAAGAGTGCATTGACCTGAGATTTAAATTAATCTACATTGGCAGAGATGTATACATCAGTGATGAATAAAAAGTGAATAAATAAAAAATTTTGTCCAAACTTACTACAAATTTAAAGAGAAACGAGACTTTAAGCCCATATTAAACTATGAATTAGAATTGAATTTTGGTTGGAATTTGACCAATCAAAGTGAAATTCATTAAACCTGATATTGGTTTGTTTTCTTCTAATTGATTAAATTTCAATCCAATCCCAATTTTAGGTTTCAAGGAAAGAATGCTCTTATTGAAAGATTTAAAATCTTATTAAATATAAATTTGTGTGTAAAAATAATTTTGTTTGATTATATCAAAGTGATTTTTTCTGGAAACTCAAATTGGTTGCTAAAATATCAACATTTTTGCAGTATTTTTTAATATAATTATTTTAATGATTTAATAAAATTTTCAGATTTTTATTCAGTAAAATTTTAGTTATTTTAGTAAAATCGTCTTTTCGTATCTGCTTTATAAACTTTCGATTCTGAATCTTGACTTCTAAATATTTTCCCACATGTTATCAAATTATTATAAATATTGAATTTCCGCAGGAAACTTTCACATTTTGAATTTTTCTATTGAAATTTCTTTCGGTGATAGAACATTCTCTTTATCTCGTACGCTTGTTTTAGATTGGATCGTAATTAGTCGGTTTTCTAGCCGCCTTTCTTTCAGATAACCTTATGTCCATCTAACCATTGATGGATCTAATACGTAATTGTTTCCTCCTTTTTTCTTTCTTTTTTTTTTTTTTTATTGATAACAACATGCAGATCTCACGCCGATCGATTGATGACCTTGAAATCTCGTTAAATGTGAAGTCCGTGTTCTTATTTCCTAGATGTATATTTATAGCAGCAGTTCAATGATATTTTATGCTTCTATTTCACGTGACTATATTTATGGCAAGTAGTGACGATCGATATCGACGAGAAATTACGGGGTAATTTTTAGAACGGGGATAAAATTTGAATTTTAATGCCAAGATTGATTCGTGATACTCCCGAGTATGTTTTCGCATCCGATTGAATTTTTATTTCGATACGACGTGATTGATAGGACACATTCAGAGAAAAAGGTGTTATAATAGCAATTATAAAGCTGATAACTATATATAAAAGTTTTATTTACCTATAGATTTAATGTATTGTATATAAATGAATAAACTATTTTATAGTTGCAATAACTAGAGAATTTGATGGATATATTAGTGATGCATTAGTTTTTGTATACAAATTGGCGTAAAGATATATATTTAATAAAAATATATATAAACACGAGGTAAACCATGAAATCTTTAATACATTTTATTGTATTATACTGTTAGGTAAAATATGTATTTAATATTTTGAAATATTTACATTTCGTTTTTACAACACTCAGATTAAAAGTATAGCTTCAATATGCAGCAGTGCGCATTAGTGTATCTAATCAAATTTGTTATATATAATATAAAGTTAAACTTCAATATATATAACAGAAAAAAAACTTTAATATATAACAATTTAAAGTTGACTCAACTATTTTATAATTGCAATAATGTGAATTAAGAGAGATAATAAATTAGTCGACGCGTTCAACGATTTTTGTTGGTCAAAATTACAGAAAAATAAATTGTAAATATTTTGATCATTGTTTTTGGTTGTTCCTCGGTATAAATTAAACGTAAAAGCACAAAATACATCTACAAAGTAAACAGCTGTCCATTAGAACGTGTTTTTTAAATGTCACAATGCAATCATTAAACAGGATTACCACAAAGCTGAAAATCAGAGAAATATCAGGGAAATTAGAAACAGCCAAGGAAATCAGAGAAAAGTCAGGAAGTTTTACCAAATATTCTGAAAAATTCTTGGCTTGAAAAAAATTCAATATGCGTAGGTATATTACACGCATCCTACGCAGTTTTGAAATACTACTAACTATTATAATAAATGCAAGTAATGTTAGTAATATATATAATAGTAATTTTCATTGCTATGTTGACATTTCAAATAAGAACAAAAACATAAACAATTTCATAATATTAAAAGCATGAGAGAAAATCGTGACATTTTATCTGGAAAGCAGGGAAAAATTATGAATTTTAGAATGAAGAATTTCTG